ATGATGAGGTTGAACTGCCGATCTTGTGCTTTAGCCCATAGCACCATAACAGGACTCAAGGTCTGGCTTAGGAGACAAAAACTCTCTTAACCATCACAATCTACTCCCTCCATCTCAGAAGTATTACTTCACACATTAGCAAACTTCATAGTGAGCTCACAGAACTTTGCTTTTGCTAAGTCAATTCGTCACCACTCAGAAAGGCAAGTTTAGCCGCTCCAGAAGTAAGGATATTTTATAAATCCATCATGCTGCTGTGGCATGCCTTAGCTGCTCAAGGAGTAGAAGTCACACAACCCAGACTTCCTTGTTTGTTATGTTGTTGTTGTTAAGTGCCGTTGAGTCAATTCCGACCCATAGAGACCCTGTATAGGGTCTCCAAGGAGCGGCTGGTGAGCTTGAACCGCCAATCTTGCAGTTCAAATGACTGCAGTGCAGTGCATTAACCCACAGCACCACACCAGGACTCCTTGTTTGTTATAGGGTTAAGCTTTCTGGGATTTCCCCTCTTTTGGGTGACCTGAGAGGGGCGGAGTTATCAGAGCCTCAGGGTACCCAAGACACTTCCACAGTTGGCACTCAATCCCTCCCTTTGCCCTTATACCAGGCCCAAGAGATGTCTCTATGTAGGGAGCTTGCTTTGGACACGAGCACAAGTCAACTCTATTTGCAGTGTGCAGTGTCTCAGATGGCATTGATCAGAATGCCAGTGAGTCGGCATTGGCGGTGGAACTGGAAGGAAGAGGAGCCGTTGCTGGTTTTGGACCAATGTTCTCATTAAATGAACGCACCCAACGTTCACTGAACATCTACCACTCCCTGCTCCTATGACAGCCCACACTGGCAACACCATTGTTGATCAGAAATGGACCCCTTCACCGACCCTGTGCCCCATTCAGCAAATTCTACCTTTCAGAAGGAGAAAGGTTTGACCCCAACAATAAGACTCCCTTCCCAGAGAAAAGCGCTCATTCATCTGCAGGGTAAGCATTTTCCATGACCCCTAGTCAGCTGGCTCTGAGCCATGGGCTGTCAGGATACTGCCTCCCAGCACCCCCTCACCCTGACTGGGAGGATTAAGTCAGCACAAACGTGCTAACTGATCTTTTGGCTCAAAGAGGAATCTTGAATTAAATGGTTCAAAGGCATTTTTCTGGCCTTACAATTTTGGCTACCTTTCTCTTTATGCAGTAAAATCTCCAGTAGTTTGGGATTTATGATCCTTTGGATAGGGACTGGGCTGAAGTCTGCTTTTGGACCATTGTGCAGAAGAAGGATTTTTCGAAGAAAATTAACAACTTGCCAAATGAATCATAAAGAGAGCGCTTATTTTATTTCAGGGGACTTGTTTTTCTAGTCCTTTACAAACATTCTTTTATCCACAAAAAAATTTGCTATGCTAATTTAAAATGATTTTTACATGTTAATTAAGTCCTCAATTACTATCATTAATATTCTTACTGTGGATAAAGGTAGCTGCAAAGTGCTAGGTCTACACTTTGAGCAGAAACTTCTAAGGTACAAACTTTTCTGGATCAAGCAAGTAAAAATGAGAATCAAGGAACTGTCAGGCAAAATGGCTAGAGGTCCTTGGTGGGGGCCACACAGGAGCACGGGGGTGTCTGGACACCTCTGGGATCTGATTGATTCACACTGGATCTCTGCCAACAGTTATGAGGACAGATGGGACTAGGACAGTTCTGGATTTGAGTCGGGCCTAGAGTTGCCCTCAGTGCTTCCGTCGTGCCTTGTGGACTAGCAGCGGTCTCTTGCATTCTTAGGCATGTCATGGTCCAGTCCAAAAATCATAGTCACTCTCAATTTCACAGAAGGAGAAATTAAAATTGGGGTTGTTGAGCAGTCGGCACTTCCTCTTCACTAGCAGGTTCTTGCCTGTCACCTCTTTGCCAGCCAAAATAAGATTCAAGAAAACTGGAAGACGAATCAATTGTGAATCTAGCCACCTGCCACTCACCAGCCCCCAAATCCGAAAGCAGTTAACTTCCTCTGTAGGATGAGGAGGACTGTGTGATCTAGTCCCTCTCCAGCTCCATCCGTCTTATGTGTTAATTCCTCCATGTAGCTGCCTGTTAGGAGTCTGAATCCTGTAACTTTTATCATCAGGACTATTTGGAGAAGACATGGCATAGAGAATCCAATACTAGGAGGGATGGTTGATTTCCTTTTGGCTGTGAGGAGCTCTGAGCTATGTGTTTCAGAACCAACATTGATTAAATGTAGATTAAATGCTACACACTGCATAAAGTGCTTGACATAACTCAGCCCTCACAATCCACCATGATCCAGGTGGCTCGGATGATGATTCCTATTTGAAAGACAACATGAGGCAGGCCTGCCCAAGATACTTGGCTAGTCAGTGGTTGAGCCAGGACAAGACTCCAGCTTTGTCTGTGGCTTAACTTTGAGATCTTAGCTACTATGATAGATATCTCACTCCACTATACTGTTCTGACATTTGTGTCAAGCATCTGCTTGCAATTTGATACATGATAAAACTACTGCCTCATCAAATATGCTTCAAAGAGGTGAGGGCAGAGGGAGGAGCAGCGGGCTAGGGAAAGCTTTGCCTGGAGTGTGGTATTCATGTTCCTTTGAAAGCAAAGCAGTGAAAGGATGCTTCTATCCTGGTACTAAATTATCTTCAGAGATAGACTTATTATCCTGGAGACATTCATTCAGAGGGTGGCCCTTATCTATAAACAAATACTAAATGTATAACCAACAGGACTGGCTGGTGGCCCAGCGGTCCCTCCCCCATCTCCCTGAAATCTACTGGGACATTCCTGCTTATGGGGAGCTGGGCTTGTTCACAGAACTAAACCACACTGCTGATAAGGCCAAGTCCCCAGATCGCCTTGAGAGGAAGCAAATGGGACCCACATTGTTCTGTCAGTGTTTCTGTCTGGAAAGATAGCATTTTCACCTTTAAGTGTAGAGCATGAGAAAGAAGATGAGATTTGGCCATCATTGGATGTGGCTGGCTTGGTTGACAATGAGGATGATTCAGGTTGTCTCCTCCAAGACAACCCAAACCTAACCTTTCCTGCTCACTTTCTACCCCAAACTAGGAGTAAATGCTATCAAACTGGAATCTATTCTGGAAAGACCACATCTGCCAAATAAGTACTGACGAGGATCTGCCAGTATGGTATGAACCAGGGACTGATGGAGAAAGAGACCCAGGATATTCAAACACACCAAGAATGAGCCCATAGCTGTGGGGAGGGGAGAGGTGGATCTTGGGAGTCTCCAGAGGATTCCACTGGGATTTGCATAAAGCTACAGAAGACATGAGGGTTAGGAGACCTAGTGGGCAAGTCATAGGATTGAGAACAAGAAAAAGACATGAAAGGAACCCCTGGGCAAAAGGAGAAACTATGTAAGAACATCACCAGAGTCTGAACTCTCCCCGCATTCCTGAAACAGATGGATGAACTGATCGCCCCTCTTCTAGTTTCCAGTGAGATTTCCTCTAGTTCCTTCTGCAAGGGCATTTTCGTTGGTCAGCATAGCACCTGACTTGCCAACATTCTGTGCTCTCCAAAGGTGGAGAGGATGGCAGAAGCCCAGGAAGAGAAAACCGCTGACGTCAAAACTCTCCACAAAGAACCTCCTTGGGAGTCAAGGAACACGAGCTTCTGATGTCACGCGGTTTTATTGTTCTTCTCTGTCCTCTGTCTGTGGGTATCCCCTCCCTCCTAGCTGCAAATGCTGGCTACCACTGGTGTTGGCAGCCTGCTACACCCAAGCAGTCCACCTTGCTTTCAGTCTATCCATTCCCAACAAGGAGCACCTATATTTTTTTCCTCTAGAAACCTGTGTGAGCCAGGTCTCTAGCCAACTGAGACAAAAGTTCTCTCATCTGCGTCTGGTTCTTTAGACAGGACTCCCCAGCAGCCATCCATACCACACCTGCTGGAAAGTTTACACGCAGTTGTGGCAGAACAAGCCTAGCGTCTGAAGCACTTTTTGAGACATGTTTTCAATTGACTCCTTAATGCAGTTGCCAGGATTAATGAATCCCCATAGTGGTCCCTCTTGGACCACTTCTTTCTCTTTCTCTAACGGAACCACTTATTTAACCCCAGCAAAAGATGAGCTCTCCTACTGCCTTGGTTTTACCCTGACAGGGGGCAAAGCCTTCTTCCTTTCATCTTCAAACTCCTCTGAATGACATGATTTAGGAGAAGAAGTGGGTTTACTCAGTCTTTGAATGTTTCCTTTTTCCCCAATCTCCTTTCTTTTCACCCCATACCTACTTCTCACCCTCTTTCTGCCTTCTATTCATTTATTCCCTGAACACCATTTCCACCAACAGCTGAGGATTTTTTTCACCCCCTCCCCCCATCAGAGTTCAAAGCAATCAGATCCTTTTAAACCAATCAAACTAAACTCTTTGGGGATCATCTTCACAGTCTTGGAAGGCCCCTCCCCGACTTCTTGAGTTCCAAGTTGCAGTTTGGGTGCTGCAGGAGAGAGATTGGGCAGCAGCAGCCAGAACAGCATGGAGGAGGGTGCTGTTTTGGGTGTATTTGTGGGAACAGCATATGGGCTTTTGTCAAAACGCTCAGAGTTCTCAAGCTTCTGAGCCAGTCTAGAACTAGGCTGATGTCTCTTAACATGCTTGAGGTACTTCAAACCATAGGACAGCAACTCGTCATCTCAATTCATCAAGCATCCGAAACACCCACCCCCAATACCAAGAAAAGTTTCTCAGAGTCATACCCCACCTGAACTATAACAAGAAGCAAACACCTTGAACAAAACATGCCTGACTGCTAAGTGTCCCTCCCTCCAAAGAGCCCCAGTCCCTTCTCTCATACAAGCAAGTAGTTCCCTTGTTCCAGTGGATGGTACCAGGTAGGAATGGGAAAAGCTGGCGCTCTGACCCAGCCGCCTGCGTCTACCCTCCAGGCTCTGGGGTAACAGGCCAGGAAGGGGACCTTCAGGGTCTCCCCTCTTGGGAAGAAGGTTATTACCTTGGCAGCGGCTTGCGGGCTGTAATACTGGCGACAATGATGCTCTCGGGACGCGGGGTGGCCACAGCTTTGAAGGTTCCTCGCCAGAACTTCTCAAAAAGCTGCTTTTCGCCTTGCTGAACACTCGCCATAGCCAACCCAAAGGGGCCCCGGAGCCCGGGCGCTGTCCGAAGTGCTGAAACGTGGATTCCAAACCGGGGCGTCCCTGGCTCCCAGCTCGGTCCGTGTGAAACCCAAAGGGGTACGGTGAGAGAGATTGGGGCTCGGGGGGGATGGGACGCCTCAGCCTGGGCGTATAGCAGAAAAAGCAGGCTGGTCCAGCGATTTGCTTCGTCTTCTGGGCTTGTTCTGGGCTGTGTTCAGAGCTTGCTGCTCCCGGGAAGTGAAAAGTAGGTACGATGGGCTAGTTTTCTTGGCCACGCCAAAAGGCAAGAGGCGACCCTTTTCGTTGGTCTGTGTGTGCGTGCGCCTGTGAGCTCCGGCGCGCCCGGGTTTTGTCTCTCGCACAATATGACGTTGGAAGAGGAGGCTGGTCGCGCGAGCTGCACTTTCCTCCCCCTCCTTGTCTCCTCCTCCCTCCAAGCCCTCCTCCTTCAGCTCAGTCTCCCGCCGCCATCTGCATAACAAAAGCCCGCAGGTCTTGGGAGGAGAAAGGGTGGGGCGTACGCCTGTCACTAGCCGGGAGAAGACAGAGTTGCAGCGCTGACCTCTCAGATGCAATCCTGGCACCCTGAATTGAGCCAGGCTGTAGGCTGAAGACCCTGCATTCCAGCCTGCTCTCTTCCCCACCATCGCGGGCCTCCCCCTTCGCTACACCTCTCGGTCGGCCACCTACCCTCCCAGGCTCTTTAGAAGTCTTGCGGCAGGTCTTCTATTGAGGGAAGACGCAAAAAACTAAACCTTTATTCCGAAGCCAACCCACCACCCTTCACTTCTGGGAAGGACCGTCGAGGCGGGCAAAGGGGGCCCCAGTGTTCCCCGGAGCTCCTGAGCTGCAAGATCACCTCCACTTAAAAAGTGCCATTTGCTGGGCAATCGCTCTCACCATCTGCCAAGCGGCCCCGCCTGCAGAGGGGCTCAGCCTTACATCTGTCCATGCGGCTCTGTAAGGGATATGTCTTTTGTATCTCGCAGCCAGCCTGCCCAATGCCCCCGCGGCCAGACTGCCTCCAAGTAAGACAGACACCCCTTCCCTCCCATACACATACACAAACACACCAACTCTATCCACTCTAGGGAAAATCTGACTGCAGGCACTTTTCTTAACACAGGTTGTTTGGGGAAATAAGTATTTTTTTTATTTAACGAAAACAATTAGCAAAAGGGGTTTGAAAGGGACAGCTAAGGATTACAGGGGGACAGTTACTCTTCAGTCCCTCTGCCCCACTGAGGATTGGTGTTGAATTACAAATAATCCCAGTCACAGGGGGTCTGGGGCAGAGTTTCCGAAGCTCCCAGCCCATCTCTCCCTTAGTGCCTTTTCATCCCAATAGAGTTGTTTCACCCCACCCACGCCCAAACCCTGCACAGTAAATTCCTGGAAGGAGACCTCACTGCGTTTTTAAGGCCCCCAGCATCTTGAACCGGCTACCTAGCACAGCGGACTGTAGACTCTAGCTTCTTGCTGATAACAATGGGTTCCCAAGGGGTGGCACACCAATGTGAATTTCAGAACTTCCTTGTAAAGGAACGGGACCGGAATAGCGAAGAAAGGGTAGGAGGAAAGCAGAGAGAACAAAGTGAAAGAGGAGCAGGAAGAAAGAACCTTTGAGACACCAATTATGACTCCAGAAGGGTATATATATTTAAGCTTCTGTGTATTTGAATGTTTACGTTCCCGCTTGTAAGCATGTCTCAGAGCGCTGCTCGCTCTGCAGTGACCCCTTCTGGCCAACAACTAGAAATGCTGGTGCTGGCTTCTTAGCAGCCCCTGGGGGTAAAGTGGAGGGGCAGATTAAGGAGTTATGCAGTGGGAGAAAGTGGAGATTAGGTTTGAGCTCCGACGGAAAACCCCCCTTTTCTCCATTGCTCCAAGATCCAGTCCCCTACTCAAGTTGATGTCATTTTAAACGCAGCTGAGAACTGGTTCCTTACAAACCCTGGATGCTTAAAATCATCCTTATTCTTGATACCTGGGGTCTGAACTGAGCCGTTTCTTAAAGGGAAGAGGTGGGTGGGATTGCACTCCAGGAGATCCGGCAACCTCTCCCAGCGTTCTGAATCCCTAGAATGTTGGTAAAGCCCTGGGTTTCCCATTCATTGTATCCTTTGAGCCCACCACATCCCGTAAGAAGTAGCAGTAGCTGCCCTTACCTTTTAAATAGGGAGGATGCTAAGGCCAAGGGTGGCAAAGAGACTTGCCCAAGGTCATCCTGTAGAGAGCAAAGCAGGTCTGTGAGAAATAAAATTTGTTTTCTCAGATGGGGAGGTTCTTGGGATGCTAAATGTACCAGGGCAAGTCTCTAAAGTCTACAAGGTTGGTCCACCAGTCACATACTGAAAGGCACATTAGGTGAAGGCACTTGTCCCAGGCTACGGGCCTGCCCCAAACTGATAGGGCATGTGTCAAACTCCTTCACCTCTCACCCACAAGCACTTGTGACTCATCCCTGTTTTTGCTGTCAACCTCTGGTCATTTCAAAACACCACATACACCCCAGGCAATTACATGACTCTGAGTCCTTGGACACTGCGCCTTCTGACCTCAGAAACTCCTATTCATTCCTCAGAACTCCAAAATCAGTAGCATCTGAAAAGTCTTTTCTTGATTCACCCCTACCCTTCCAAATCCATAATGAAAACTTGCTTTTAGGCTGCCTATGAGCTGTGGGTGTCATTTAAATTATTTAAAGTTATTTGTTGTAATTGTTGTTGTTGTTGTTAAATGCTATCAACTCTATGTAGGGATTCCAAGGAGCAGTTGGTGAGCTTGAACAGCCGACCTTGTGGTTCAACCTGACCTTACAATCCAGAACATTACCCCACAGAGCCATATAATAGTGATTTTGATATTGTTGAAAACATAGTTTATGACTACTTTTTAATTTGGGAGTCTTGGTGTGGCACTTCAGAATAATGCACAGGACTAAAAGGTCAATTTGACTCCCAAGGTCGGCAGTTCAAACCCATCAGCCACTCCTCAGAAACCCTATACAGGATCGCTATAAGTCAAAATCAACTCGATGACTCTTAATAACAACAACATTTAGTACAATGACTGGAACACAGTAGGTGCTCAAGGAATGTTAGAATAGTAAGTGAAGTCTCTATACAGTATAAAGGTAGTGTAGTGGCTACAAGTCAGGCTGCTAACTTCAAGGCCAGCAGTTCAAAACTACCAGCCATTCTGTGAGACAAAGATGATGCTTTCTACTCCTGTAAAGATTTACAACCTCAGAAACCCTATTCAGGGTTGCTGTGAGTTGGAAGGGACCCCATAGCACACCACCACCACCACCACCACCACGCTCATATTACCCTAACTTTAAGGCAATAAGGCTTAATGGGATACTCACCGAGTATACATGATAACATTCACATTATACTTACGGACACTGTGCATATTAATTTATTGTTAACAGATATGGGATAAGAATTTCAGTAAGCCCTATGCATACTGTGCATCTTATACATAACAATAATAACTAATGCTTATATAAGGATCCCTGATGCTAGGTGTTACGTATCAGTCAGCTAACTTCCCAGCTGCTCCACAGGAGAAAGATGAGGTTGTCAGCATTGTAAAGGTTGAAACTCTTGAAAACCCTATATAGGGTCACTGTGAGTTGTAAATGACTCACTGGTAATGGGCTTGGGGTGCTTTTTGCTTTGTTTTCAATGCTTATTAGAGTCCTGGTGTGTACTAGAATGCTAATCTCAAGGTCAATGTTTCAAACCTACCTTCTGCCCCCTGGAAAGGCTATATAGAGTTGCTATGAGTCAGAATTGACTCGATGGCACTTATATGGCAAGTACTCGGTACCAGGAAGCAAACTTCCACATCTGTCTCCCACAGCAGCTGGCAGGTCCCAACCTCTGACCTTTTAGGTAACAGCTGAGCATGTTAACCACCGAGTTACCAGGTCTCCTTAGTCTAAATACTTTACAAATACTAACTCATTTAATGCTCACAACAACATTGAGTCAGGTTCTGATACAACCACAGTTTACATACAAGGGAAATGCAGCTCAGAGAGGTGAAGTCATTTTCCCAAGACCATACGGCATCAGAAAACATCCCTCCATTTTTTGTATCTTATTTCATTTGTGTGTGTGTGCCTGTGTTATGTTGTGTGTGGGTATGCAGATATATTATAACCCACCTCAAGTGTCTTCGGCTTTTAAGACAGACTCAATTTCTGAATGTGACTGCCTTGGTCTTGTCTGTAACGTCTATTGAAGGAATACAGAATTCTCTCCTGGAATGCTTTAAAGCAGAAGACAAAAAGCAACTGACCTTTGGTATGGAGGAAAAAAATGAAAAGGAGGAAAACAAGGCTGTTCATCCTTCCTCTTACACAGTGGATCTGTAAGCAGGATAGCTAGAGGGGAAGTCAGACATCTTCCACCACCAGAGGCCCCCCGGATGTTTTGGGGAAAGCTCTATGCAGCAGCCCCCTCCTGGCCACCATGCCCCTGGATTGGATGTTGCAAAAATAATTACCAAACAAATCGATAGTCAGGGCTGTGATGTGACCGTGATTTCTTTGTGCATCGCTTTCCTTCCGGAGCCTCACTCTGCCTTACAGGCACGCTGGATTCTCTGCAAGCTGCCGACAGCCCAGAGGTTTAGAATAACTTCCAGAGCATTTTATCTTCCTTCTCTCTACAAGTGATTTATGGATGTTTTCCATAAAGTGATTTCTGGCTGTTTGAAGCGGGCTCCACAGGAAGGGAAGGGACTTGTCTGAGGTCATGGAACTCCAGGGGGCTTCAAAAGGTTTGTGGAAAAAGAGACTGAAAAAGTAATGGCATACTTCCATGAACTTTCTGAAGCCCCTTCATATGTCTGGGGTGCATCTCTGTTTTGCTTTTGGGGGGGAGAGTCCTTAAAATACATTTGTCATAAGAAAAAATGATAAATATTATAATTTTCAAAATTTCTCTCTCAACTAGATTTCGTGGAGGATTACCTAGGTCGTGTATTCAGGAGTCCACCCTGAGTGATGCAATTAACATGCTCAACTCCTTTCTAAGAGGTTGGAGGTTCAAGCCCACACAGAGGCACTGTGGTGATCTGCTTCTGAAAAATTAGCCATCGAAAACCCAGTGAGC